CTTTATCTATACTTATATCGCTTTCTTTTTTGAGCTTTTTCAGAATTAGTTCTACTTCTTGTTCTTTTATACTATGCAGCAATTCAAAAAGACTTCACAACTAACTAAATGTTTAACATTCTCAGTTTTCTTTTACATACTACACATTTGTTCATTTTGTAAACATCTGGTTTTCTCTGATTTAGCCTTTCAAAAACTGGTAATAAATTGTTTATATACTTTAATTCGAAGAGCTAAATATTGTTTAATACGAATGTATAATCTTGTTGCTTAATTCTACTCTTTAAAAGTTCATAAAATATTGGCCAACATTAATGAGTTTTTCTTTCTCTATATGTAGCATTTTGAGTACTGTGTGCAAATGTTCATTCTGCCCTGTTTATTACTTTTCCGAGTATCTTAGTAAAAGAATGTAGTGGCTTTTCTACTAATTTATTTTTCTACTTCAATTTTAATTTATATCTTTTTGTACTTAGTAATACTGGGGTTAGAAATTCTAAACTAGATGCATCTTCTCTGGCTTTAAGATCTGCTACATCATTAAAAAACTCGCCCGAATATCCTTTAACTTTGGTAAAGTGCAGCTTTAACTGTTTTGTCTGAACTACTTCTGTCAATGTTGTGATGAGGCCGCTATTTTTAATTTTTAGCCACTGTCTTGTCTTATTTGATTCTAAGCCTTTTTTAATTACTAAAATTGCTACTTTACTATCTGTTCTAATTTCAACCTCTTTTTCTTTTGGTATTATTAACAAGGCAATGAGAATCGCAACTAACTTGGCTCTGGTTGAAGAAAACTACTTTTCGGTTACACATGCTATTTGCTGGATAATTTGTCCCCCCTCTTCTATTTGGATTGCTCCACAGCCTATTTGCATTTCAAGATCATTTTCTGATGTCCCGAGTGAGCTATCTGTGTAAAATAAAAGACTATCTAATTTTTTATTTTGCTCTAAAATTTTAACTAGTCTATTTTTAAGTTCCATGTCTAAAACTACTCTATCTATTAATATTTTTTCCCAGCTTTTGACTTTTATTATTGGTACATCTTTTCTTTTTACATTTTATAACTCTTTAGATGATACTAGTATTTTTTCTTTATCCCTTTCTAACACTTTTTCAAGAGTATCTACATTGAAAATTAGTTTTGCCCTTTCTCTGTTTTTTGTACAAAGTTCGTAATATCTCTTAGCTCTTTTTGTTTAATTATTGATATTTCCAGTCTACTACTATATTCTAAAAAATTTTGCTCGGAGCTTGAACTTGTCTTTACTAATTCTCTATAGTTTTTAACCTCTATATACTTGTTTTCTTTTTCTTTGACTTTTCAAATTCTGACATTTTCATTTTCTTTGTCTTTCTACATAATCCACTCTTTTGTTCTCTTATTTTTTTTAGTTTTTCTATAACTAAATTGAGGTTGTTTCTGTTGCAAGATGCAATTCTGAATTCTGACTTGACTTCTTTAGAAAGCAGGTTTATAATCATTTCTCTTTCTACAGTAAGTTGTTAAACCATTTTGCCTTTCTTTTTCTTTTGTCTATGTTGTATATCTACTTAATTTGTTGCTATATGTACATTGACTTGCCATTTTCTGCTATAAGCTGTGATAAAAAGAAAACTTCCAACTTGCTTGCATTTGACTTTTCATATGAAAGATTACTTCTTTCTAAAATTTCTGCTACTTCACAATTATTTATTTCTAATGAAGGCTTAGAGTCCCAGCTTTTTGTAAAGTCATTTTCTTCTATCAAGAAGTCTAGTGTCTTTGCATGTTGTAAGATCTGCAAACCTAGGTTTTTTAGTTTAGTTTTACATTTCTCTAAAAGTGTTTGATTTATTAGAATGCATTTGGCTGTGTCTATTTTTAATTGTCCTTGCTTTAGTCTCATTAGTGTGGATTTTTTCACAGGCTCTTTTGCATTTATTTTCACTAATAATAGTTCTGAGAAGTGATGTTCTATATATCTATTTTACAAACTTTTGAAATTTACTATTTTTGGATATTTTGGAATTGCATTTGCTACTGTTGAGGGCATTGATAGCTTCCATTTGGTCAAGTATACTATAAGCTAGTGTATTCTATTATATTGGGCTCTGGTTAGACAGGAGATCATAAGTCTATACTTTAAAATTAGCACAAGCACAGTATTGTTTACATATATAATCTGACTAAGAGATATTTTTTTAAATTTAAGAAGACCTGTTATTTTGGCTATCTCTTTTTTTGCTTTATAAATATCTAATCGCTTCTGATTTTTTGTTGATATCCAGACTCCTAAGAAACGAGTAGAGTCCTTTGGGTTCTTTGCCAAAATTTTCACTTTTGGGTTGCCTGCCCAAATATGAATATCCTCGGTACCTTTTTGTTTACTCAGTTTTATAACTACAAGTTCCGTTTTGTTTGGATTTATCTCAATATCGTTTAACTCATAGAACTTATTTGATATGTCAATTGTTTTTTGCATATTTTCTTGACTGCTTGTTATATGCTAAAACTCCTATCCGCAACTTTTCTATATCAGAATGATCGTCTATTTTTGGAATGCTGCTTTGTATTTCATACCTTAATTTTGCTTCTTGTACTTTACACAAGAGAGGATCATAGAAGATTCTCTATACCAGAGGAGATAGCATCTCTTTTTGGTCAATTTCATCTCCTTCTTCAGCAGCCTCAGTATTTCCAAACTCCGTTATAAAATTAAGCTTTCTTTTATCATAGAGATTTGTAATAAAATTTGCTAGTTTAGATGGAAATTTGAGCCTTTCTAATGCTTTTTTAAGTGCTATTATACTAACTAAATCAAAAGCTTTTTTCATGTTTTGAAAAGTAATCCAGAGTTCTTTTCTTTTTTCTACTACCTCTTCTATTATATTGTTTATAATATGAATAGGTGCAGATATACTTTTTCCTGAAAGTTCTGTGAAGTTTGTACCTTTTAGCACCTTATTGCGACTTAATACCTTGTCGAGTCTCACTTGTATTACTTTTGTTATCACTTTTCTACATGTTTCTAATAAGACTATTGGTTTTGTATAACTCAAATTGTATTCCCAAAAATTTTCTTTTGAGATTAAATATACTTGATCTAATTTCTATTTTTCTAAAATATGATCATCTTCCAAAACAAAATTTGCAAAGTTTATTATTCTTTTAGTTACCTTTATAGAGAGCTTTTTTAGTAGTATATAACTGATACCTGATATACCTAGAGCTATACCATTTTGTGTTTTGCCTAGAGCTTGTATTTATTCTTCTTTGCTAATTAGGCTCATTACTTTTTCATATATAGATGGATCTATGTTCCTCTTTGGCATATACTTGTTTCTCCACTCCTGGCTCATTTCTTCAAACTTTTGGTTTCTTTTTTGAAATTGTTTTTGGAAGTGTAAGATAACTTGTTGTTTCAATTCAGTTTCTTCATTAATGAGTTCTAAGTTCTGGTAGTCAGATTCTTCTCCAACAAGGACTCTATTTAGCGTTATCTTGTTGTATACTCTATTTAGCAAACTTTGTAATATTTTTTTTTTATCTTTTTTCATCATATTAAATCTTTGTTCTATTTTGTTTCTTATTTCTTTTTTTTTTCTTTTGTGTTCTTCTTCTTCTGCTTTTTTCTCAGAATCTTTACCTAATTTCTAAGTTTGTTTATTTTTACATGGCTCCAATATTCATGCATTTGAGAAATTTGTGTTTGATGTATTTGGTTTATATTTTCAATTTGTGTGTTAAACTTTTCTCTGTCAGCACTACTTATTTTTTCCACATAGTGTGTATGACTTTCTTTTTGTAAATAATATAAGAATTTGACCTTTTTGTAGATATTGGAGCTGGGGACTGATATTTTCTCCTGAATCTTGGTTTTTTGAATATTGACTGATGGTATGTGTTTTATTGCTGCTTTTATAATCGCATTACTTAAAATATCTCATTCTACATTAATGTTTTGTTGTAGCAATGCAGAGGCTCGTGGAGTCCCTTGTGCATTTTTTCCTTATTAAGTTTTTAATACACTTGCTATACAAATTCTAGTTTTCTTTTGTAGCTTTGTAATAAAAAAAAACTCTTCTTGTTGGCTTTCCCTATTTAAATTAAATAGTTAAAAATAAAAGCTTGTTTAAATTTAATATAATAAAATAGGTTTAGACAAAAACATTTCTGGTTACTTTCACTCTATAATATAATTTAATATAGCTCAATAAAAAATAAGTAAAGTTTGTGAGAATATTGATTATTACTGATTATTTTGCACAGTAAATATAAACCTATTAAAGTGAAAAATAGCTTTGTAGTGATTTTTTATTAATGAAATATTGTGTTTTCAAAAAATACTTTAAAGTTAAATAAGTAATCTAAGAAATAGCCAATCAGATGAATGTCCTTCTATGAGATTCAAAGTTCTGGTCTGTTTTTTTATAGTTTAGCATTATTTGTACTCATATGATGAGCTAAGCTATAAAAAAACATACTAGACTGAACTAGTGATAGACAAAACCCATGTTACTTGGTTTTTTTTTTCGTGATCTTTGTTATTTGTCATATAACATTATGTCATAATACACTTTGTCATTTGGTTACAAATAAAGTAACAAAATCACATGTTAATAAAAATAATATAAATATAAAATGGTATAAATCACTATATTACTAGTTATTTAGTCACTTAAATAGCTAATAAAAATTAGATTATTTATCAAATTTATAAATTTATATTATATTTATCTAACAATTTTAGTAATATAAAGTAGCGAATCTATTATTTAAATTAAGTAATATTATACTAAAACTATGTCATGATATTTTAAAGTTATCCGGCAAACTCATATGATCATGGCCCAAAAATGCCTTGATATTTTTTAAGCAATTATGACATAATGCCGAATATCCAATTTTTGAGCAAATATCATGATCGACGCAATCAATAATTTTAACGAAAATTTACTCAGATTGGGCCAGAACAAATTATTTAAATTTATATAAGCGACGAAAAGTACTCAAATTACAACATTGTATTACTAATGCATTAATTCTATGAATACTGTCGTTTTATCCAATTATAGTCAATTAAAAATGAAAACTGCAATTATTAAAAGTATTTCCCGTAAGAAATTTCTCAATAAAATCTTTATTTTGAGGATTTCGATTTTCTTTAGAGTTATTACACTCTTGACTTTTTTGAGTACTTTCTTGATGACCATTTTGTTCACGTTCAACCAAGGCTTCTCGTGAAGGATTATGAGTAGTATGCGGAGATCTTTCACTAGCTTGTGGTGATTCTTCATTTTCATTCAATTCATCGTTTACATCGAATTCAAGACTTTCCATACTATTTGCAAGTGATGTAAGTGAACTGGTCCATTTAAAGTAAGAACTTGCCATTACAAAATCACCACTTAGACTGAGAGATTCTTTTACTATGTAATCTGTTACTTGTTTTTCAGTTATCAATTAATAAAAAAAAAAAAAAATCAAATTAAAATTAGCAATTAAATAAATACCTTCGGTTGATGTTTTTTTATTCTTCATAAGAGCATCAAAAAATCCACCAAGGCCTTCATGCTGCATAATTGATTTTGGTCATTCATACACAGATAAGCCTTTTTGTGATTTATGTCTCGTGATTGACATAACCACAGAATCCGAACATCCAAGCCCCTTTAATACCTGAACTGCAGTTTTTCTTCCCGAATGGTTGGATATACTACGACTGCCAATTTCAATATCAGTGGCTTCACATATTACCCGAAA